TGATGGATCCAATGGACGCAATAGATGTAGTGGAAGAATGGAAGCAGCAGAAGTGATAACAGTGATCAAAGGGACAGAAGTAGTGAATGTAGTCAAAGTACTGGAAGTAGCCCAACCGGTAGAAGTGGTCGACGTGGTAAAAGTGACAGAGGTGAGAGAAGTAGAAGTAATTGCAGAGGCAAGAGAGTTGGAGAAGCAGTAGAAGCATCAGAAGTAGCACAAGTTACAAGAAGACTAGAAGTGAGAAGCGCGTGTCCCTTGAAGGTTTCGCAAGTGGCAGGGCTGTCAGGAGCTCAGATCGCCCTCTTCTCCTTTGGTGGCTCTTTCAGCCCCAAACCCTAAACCCTAAACCCTAAACCCTAAACCCTAAACCCTAAACCCTCAGCCCTCAGCCCTAAACCCTAAACCCTAAACCCTAAACCCTAAACCCTAAACCCTAAACCCTAAACCCTAAACCCTAAACCCTAAACCCTAAACCCTAAACCCTAAACCCTAAACCCTAAACCCTAAACCCTAAACCCTAAACCCTAAACCCTAAACCCTAAACCCTAAACCCTAAACCCTAAACCCTAAACCCTAAACCCTAAACCCTAAACCCTAAACCCTAAACCCTAAACCCTAAACCCTAAACCCTAAACCCTAAACCCTAAACCCAACCGAAGCCCAGGCTGCAGCTGCCGTGTGGGCACACCTTTCACGGCATATGCGCTGACAAATGGATGACCCGGGAAGCCGCACCCCAAGTTGGCACAGTGCTTTTGGAGTGGGGTTTAGGGTTTAGGGTTTAGGGGTTTAGGGTTTAGGGTTTAGGGTTTAGGGTTTAGGGTTCAGGGTTTAGGGGGTTTAGGGGTTTAGGGTTTAGGGTTTGGGGTTTGGGGTTTGGGGTTTAGGGACTTCGGAGCGTGGATGCCGGTGAAGGTGAGCTGCCCCATGTGCAGAAAGCCTTTCGGAAGCCTTCACCTCTGTCGCAGGACCGCGGCAGCTGCGAGCCTCTGACCCATAAACCTGTCCTGAACCCCCCAAAGCTTACCTGTTTAGGGGTTTAGGGTTTAGGGCTTAGGGTTTAGGGTTTGGGGCTTTTGTGCTAGCGGGCTCCTGGCCTTCTTTGCTGCCAGGATTTGCTTGCGGCCAGGCGCTTACCTGGCCACGCCAGGCGAGCGGCTGAGGGAAGTTTCCGTTTCAATTTCGGGGTTTGAGGGTTTGGGGTTTACAGGGTTTACGGGGTTTACGGGGTTTACAGGGTTTACAGGGTTTACAGGGTTTACAGGGTTTACAGGGTTTACAGGTTTTACAGGGTTTGCAGGGTTTGCAGGGTATATCGGGTTTGCACTCATTATAGGGTTTGCAGGGTTTATAAATCCCGAACTGCATCATTCAGTCGGAGAGGAGAGGCGACTCCCAGTACACCTTCCGTCATCGTCGACGTGGCGGAGACATTCACGGCACCCCGGACCAAAGGAAGGCCTCCAACCCTGAACCCTGAACCCTTAACCCTAAACCCTAAACCCTGAGCCCTAAACCCTAAACCCTAAACCTAAACCCTAAACCTAAACCCTAAACCCTAAACCCTAAGCCCTAAACCCTAAACCCTACACCCCCTAAACCCTCCCTTCGACGAGAGCTAAGGAGGAGGAGGAGGCGAAGGAGAAGTTCGCCCGAGACTGCTTCGAGCCCGCATCTCACATCCCTGAGATCCGCGAACTCATTGGAGAGATACCCAGGAGTGAGCAGTGTTGTGATTAGCATGGCTATTACCATGATGATGATGCTTATTCTCCTTATTTGCTAGCAAAAGCCATGCAAAAGGTCCGGGGCGGAAGCCCAAGTTGTTGGCAGGGTGGCCTAGCTGTCGCATGGTTCTCCCCTGCCTGACACTGGCTTCCACTGAGCAGCCTTCGTAGCTTCGGAGCCCAAGGATTGTGCCTGGAAAGCAGGCTCGCTGCACAGAATGAGGCGCGGCGAACAGAGACACAGTGACAGCTGCTGCTATTTGGAGGTTCGTGGTACTTCTGAACCAACTAGAACTGGACTCATAGTTTTACAACCGAGGCATATAAGCCCCTCAAGTGCCTTTATATGGTTATAAGTACAGCTATAAGTACAGTTATAAGTACAGTGACCCTAAACCCCAAACCCCAAACCCCAAACCCAAACCCTAAACCCTAAACCCGAAACCCGAAACTCGAAACCCGAACCCTAAACCCTATAAGTACAATTTTTCTCCCTCATATTTTTCTACGGGCATATTATAAAGTAAGCTCGCACACGTTTATAATATAATGCCCGTTTTAAAATTAAGAGGAAAAGTGCCCTAATAATATTCACGCATTTATAATATAATATTAGCGCATCCTTTACCTAATATTATATTATAAGTGCATGTGAATCTCATTAAGGGGCGAGAGTACAAGGGTGAGACAGGTGAACAGAGGTTGGGTCTCAAGGTTTAGTTCATAGGCGTTAACAGGGTCTCAAGGTGTGACAGGGAGATTCCGGAAGACCTGGCGAACAAGACCCATGGAAAGATACCAATCCGTGAGGCAAGAGAGTTCCTGTCATGTAGAAAGACTCATGCATTCTCAGGCTAGTTGGCTTGTAAGTGCTATGAACCTCCGCGTAAACCCGCATCATCATGAGCCGTACGGCGGCTCTTGCAGAGGCCTTCGTGCCTACATAATCCCTTAAAGGTATATATATATATATATATATATATATATATAAAAGCATATATATATACACACACACATGTAGGGCCCTCATTCCCTCATTCCCTACTAAGAACCAGGGGATTTTGCAGAGCGTTGATTTCCAGCTTCCCCGAGTTTTCTTCGTGCACCCCTCGATGATTGACCTTCCTTCCTGCCAGGAGGATGATTGGAGCAGCCGGGTAGTGTCGATTTGAGCGTTTGTTCGCGATTCAGCCTCTAGGAAGTAAAACAAGCTCGTTAGGCAGTTCAGTCCCTCTGCCGTCAATCCACTTGCCAAGCTCACTTGCCAGGCTGAATCGCCACAATCTTCAAAATTTTTAGTATAGTAGTAAGGCAGAAGTCTTTCAGCGACCTTGCAAAGCAAGCGTGCTTGTGGACTGCGCAGTTGGCATTTGCCCCGTGCCGTCGGTCAATCGACTGGCACTTCGGCTGCGCTGAATTTCCGCCCAGACCCAGCTGAAAGGCACCCCACCCAAAGATACCAAGAGCGCAAACTCGGTGTTCCCATTCTCCACCTGTGTACCTTGCGCGTTCCTTTTGATGCCTTGGGGGTTCGGCTCTATGTGTCAGTGCATGATGCAATGATCGTGCAGACCCGTGGAGAGCGATGATAAAATGTCCGGTCCTGTGGAGCACAAGCCAAGTCCTGTCCCGGCATTGTGGGTTTTTTCTTCGGCAGCATGCAGTTGCCCGCGCGTCCGCATTCCCTGTGACAAGGTGCATCAAAGCAAGAGATGTAGCAGAGTAGAAGCGAGAGTGCCCGTCAGCAGATGTGAGCCATTCAACTTGTATGTCTCGTCAACATGACAGACATGACGGTGGAGGAGCACGTTGCCGGAAAACCCCAAACCCCAAACCCCAAACCCCAAACCCCAAACCCCAAGCCCCAAACCCCAAACCCCAAACCCCAAACCCCAAACCCCAAACCCCAAACCCCAAACCCCAAACCCCAAACCCTGATCTAAACCCTAGACCCTAACCCCTACACCCTAAACCCTTATCGCAAGGCAGTTCATCGCGCTCCTTGCAGAGGACCCAGCTGGGAAGAGCACCACGCGCAGCTTGATGCCCTCATCGCTCAGCTGCATGCGTGGGCCTCGCTTTAGAAGTGATATTCCTGCTGTGCCCCCCACACATACGGTTAGGGTTAACCCTAAACCCTAAACCCTAATCCCTAAGCCCTAAACCCTAAACCCTAAACCCTGAGGGTTTAGGGTTTTGTGCTACCAGGCCAGAGCATGGATGGCAGCTGGAGGGCCGGAGCCTACATCCAAGGAGCGCTTTTGCGGCACGCGGTGGTTTACCTGAACCCTAGACCCTAAACCCTAAACCCTAAACCCTACACCCTAAACCCTAAACCCTAAACCCTAAACCCTAAACCCTAAACCCTTAACCCACAAAAAACGGCCTTGAAGCCTGAACCCTAAAACCCCAGATGGGTAGTTCTCCCTACACCCCAAAGAGGTTCAGGGAGTAGAAAAAAGAACAAAAAAGGATGGTACGGAGACTTGTAGCGCCAAAAAGGGGCCCTGGCTTAGAGAACTACCTAAACCCTAAACCCCAAACCCCAAACCCCAAACCCCAAACCCTAAACCCCAAACCCTAAACCCTAAACCCTAAACCCTAAACCCTAAACCCTAAACCCTAAACCCTAAACCCTAAACCCTTGTTTGCCCGAAGCTCCAGGATCCTCGGAAAAGAGAGCCAAGGCTTGCAACAGGCCGAAGATCTTCTTGCAGTTGAGGGTTTAGGGTTTAGGGGTTTAGGGGTTTAGGGGTTTAGGGGTTTAGGGTTTAGGGTTTAGGGTTTTGTGCTGACTCAAAAGTCGTGCAGTAGCTTGCCATGCCAGCAGCTTGTCTTCTTTGTGAGAACGCTTCCTGATTGTTGCGCACTATACGAGTATTGCACCTGTGTGTAGTGTGTACGACTTCGTAGATATTAGATATCAACACTTCATTGTTGCTCTTGCACAGCTTGCTTCGGACGCGAGAGCATCGAGAAATCGTTGCACCGAACACGTTGCAGAATCCTATATAGACCCTCAACCCTTGATTCGAGAAGTGGATCGTTGACCGTGCAACGTAAAGCTATTTTTCGCTACGAGGTCGAGAGTGCTTCCTTGCCAGATAGGCTATGTTTTTGTTTGGCCTCTTAGTGTGTGCATTTTTGTACATGGTCATTTGAAGTAGCAGCCGTTAGTTAAGACACACATGTGCTGAGTGTCTGCTGACAAGGCACAGTGGCCCAAGGTTTCAACATTCAGAGCCACCCTCAGTCACTCTCATAGAATCGATGACCGAGGTCTCTGACTTCACTTCCGCCCTTAATGGGGCAATCGAGCGCCTGGACACGCTTCAGGTCAAAGGGCGCTACTTCACCCAGCGACGTTTGCAGGACGACTTCAAGATTGGTGGGACGGTTTTGGGAACTGGCTGCAGCGGTGCAGTGCTGGCTGCCACCTCCCGCCACAGACCTGGACGCTTTGCGATCAAGACCTACGACTTGCAGTATCTGGACCTTGGCCAAAAGGAGCGTCTGGTTGCGGAGGTGGAGGTGTTTCTCAGTCTGGACCACCCGCACATTGCTCGGCTCTCGTCAGTATATGAGACCAAAGATCAACTCAGCCTCGTCATGGAATGCATGGAAGGGGGCGAGCTCTTTGAGCGTGTTTGCCAGACCGATCGCTTCAGTGAGCACGACGCCGCGCAGGCCACTTGGCACATGCTCCAGTCCGTCAGCTACATTCACAGTCGAGGGGTGGTTCACCGCGACCTCAAGCTCGAGAACTTTCTCTATGATGCTCCGGGCAGCGATTTCCTGAAGCTCATCGACTTCGGCTTCAGCAAGTTCTTCCGCGTGAATCAAAAGATGAGGGAGGCCATGGGGACACTGGCCTACGTGGCTCCCGAGGTGCTGAAGCACCGCTATGCCAAAGGCAGCTGTGACATGTGGAGTCTAGGTGGGACTTTACCACAACTTTTATCACTTTTTAAGTTTAGGGTTCCTCTAACTTCATATTAAGGGAGCTGAAGGTTAAAGTTTCATTGGGGGGGGGGGTTAAGGAGCAACCCAAGGAGTCTCGGCGTGATTGTCTTCATCCTGCTGAGTGGGGAGATGCCTTTTGGTGGGCGGACGGATGCGGACGTTGCGCGGAAGATCAAGGCTGGCAAGTATCTTGACTGTTGGTTAGCAGGGAATGAGGGAATGAGGGGCCCTATATATATATATATATATATATATATATATATACACCCTTTAAAGGGATTATATCCCCCATTCCCTACGAACCAACAGTAAGGTATAAGCTGGACTGGAACAAGTGGTACAGCATCTCCAAGAATGGCCGAGACTTCATTGAGCATCTGCTTGTGGTTTGCCCCAAGAAGCGCATGGATGCCATGACGGCGCTGCAGCATCCTTGGATCACCTCCTTTGTGACCACCCCAAATGTGCGCGGAAGCGTCGTGACTTGCTTCCTGAACTTCGCGCACGCGACCAAGTTCCAGAGGCCCTTTTGCTTTGGGCAAAGTCAACCCTACAACCCTATCGCCCTATCACCCTATCACCCTAGCCCTTGCAACCCTACAACCCTAAACCCCTAAAACCCCGAAACCCTAAATCCTAAACCCTAAACCCTAAATCCTAAACCCTAAATCCTAAACCCTAAATCCTAAACCCTAAACCCCTTGAGCCCGGAGCCCTCCCAAGTGCACAGGGCCTGTTTGCAAGCCATGGCGTGGAGCTTGACCCTGGAGGATTTGGGTTTAGGGTTTAGGGTTTAGGGTTTAGGGTTTAGGGTTTAGGGTTTAGGGTTTAGGGTTTAGGGTTTAGGGTTTAGGGTTTCGGGTTTCGGGGTTTAGGGGTTTAGGGTTTAGGGTTCAGGGTTTAGGGTTTAGGGTTTAGGGTTTCGGGGTTTGGTGAGATTTTTGGCTTTCATGTTTGTATATTTTTTGTTTCTTTGTCCCCAGACTCCTGTGGGCTTTCTATGTGTTCAGCTCTTCTCTTCGTTTGGCTCTCCTGAGCTCCTGTCACCCGCTCCCAGAGACTCCCGCAGAAAATCCTGCGGAGGATCCCAGGGGTGTCCTTCCGAAAGAATTCCCCGGAGTGCCCGCACCGTCACCCGGTTTGCGCACTCGAGGGTCCGCGTGGGTTTCGGGTTTTTTGGATTGCTCGGCAGTGCTTGCTCTGTTGGGCAGAAGTTTTGCTCTCCAGGAGCGTCGGAAACTTCGTGGCGACTTTATCCAGCTCAGCCACCAGGGGGTCATCAAGCAGCAGCAGCTTCGTGTGTCTTGGCCAGCTTCGCTCTTGGAGGGCTCTTCTAGGACCCTGAGCCCTACCAAGCCCCAAGCCCCGTAAGCCTAGGAACCCGAAACCCTAAACCCTAAACCCTAAACCCTAAACCCTAAACCCTAAACCCTAAACCCTAAACCCTAAACCCTAAACCCCATTCCACCACCATCCAGCCAAGGAGTTTCTGGCAGGACAGCTCCAAGAAGGCTCCGACAAGCATCAGGAAGCACTGCGGGCCTTGGACATCCTACAGAGCCAGACTGGAGACGATACTTGGGTTTTGAGCTTGAGGTTTGGGGTTGAGCGTTCAGAGTTTAGGGTTTAGGGTCTATGACCGATGCCTTCCTTTGAAGCTCGTTTGACTCAGCAAGTAGGGTCGGTAAGTTGGGTTGAAGGGATTTCTATCTGGTATCTAGGGGATACTAAGTAGGTTTACTACGTCAAAAGGGCTGTGTATAAGGCCCATATATGATCAAGCTGGGGGGGGGGGGGTTGGGGGAGGCAATGGTGGCCGGGGGCGCTGGGGGACCCCCGAACCGCGAACCGGGATCATAATATCTCTCCTACAAACAGTAGGACTTTTGCACTTCCAAGCAAGGACATCAGCTACAGCAGCTTCCTGGCCGCCATGATGGCGTGCACGAAGCTGGACGAGACCGCCCACGCCGCCAAGTCGGCCTTCCGCCGGTTTGACCACAACGGCAGTGGATACCTGAGCCCCTCGAAGCTGCGTGAAGCCGCCCGGCATGCTTTTACAAGCCCCTAAACCCTTCAACCCCTAGAACTTAAGCCCTAAACCCTTGGGATGTTCCCCCTTATGCGATAAGAGTCCTTCATCGGGAGGAGAAGAAAAGGGGGTACTATGATTCCGATTGAGGACTGTTAGTGTAGGGGGGAACATCCCAACCTAAACCCAAAACCCTAAACCTTAAACCATAAACCCTGGATGCAACCAAGACTACAGCCCACAGCCTACTCTCTAAAGTCCTAAGCCTAAATCCTGAATCCTAGGTCTCAAATTCCGAAAATCCATGGGCTCATTTTGTAGCAAATCATGGCGGGTCATGATGCTTATGATTATGATAAATTTAACCCTAAACTTTCCCCCGAGAGAAGCCCTGGAATTTGGGCCAAGGTGCTGGGAGAGGATTTCGACATCGACGTGATCTTCAAGGAAGTGGACCGCGACAAGGATGGCAAAATCTGCATCGACGAGTTTCTGGCGCACCTACGTGGCTGGGTATGAATTGAGGATGGCCCCTGCTTGAAGGTCTAGGGTTTCGGGCTTTGCGTGGTGTGATAGGTATGGCGGCTGAGTGGCAACCTAGGCTGCCGTGCTCGTATTTTTTTTGACAAGTTGGGAGAACCTGCTTAGCTGGTTCGACAAAAGCGCCTCTCATAAGTCTTTTGAACTCACTCCATATCCAGGCGATGTCCAGAGTGCCGTGGTCGAGAAAAGCTTCAGTGAGGCCTGTCCATTTTCTTTGAACTGGAGGCGTGCCGGGAAGTCGCAACAGTCGAGCCCGCACAGTCTCTTCAGGCGTGCAACAACTTGGTTTGCCGGGCTTTGCGGATCATCAACACTGTAAAGAGGATGGTCCCCGCCGCAATGCTAAATCGGCATGTGTACTGTACAGAGCCCATTCATCCCAATGCCCTCCGCGACTGTATTGAGTGGAAGGTGCTGTACAGATTGGGTTGGAGATAGGAGCTTCACCAGGGAGCCCTGTTTCCCTTAAACTTAGGCTGAGCCATCTTCCGGCATCAGGTGCCGCAATGTGCTCCAAACCGACCTGATATCTGGGGGGGGGGGAAGCAGCGTTATGTCAACCCTTCATGAGCCCTATAAAACCGTACAAAGCCCTATAAAACCCTTTAAAACCCTTTAAGACCCTTTAAAGCTCCATAAGCCCTATGAGCCCTATAAAACCCTGTGAGCCCTCTAAACCCTGTATCCCCCCCAACAAAACCCTATAAAGCCCTGTAAGGGCCCAAGCCCCACACACCCTGGTCCTTGTCAGGCTTGTCCGCAGCTCCGGCTGAGGCCGGCTCTCTCGTCTTTTGATCACCCACCGTCGCAAACCATCCTAAACCCTAAACCCTAAACCCCAAACCCTAAACCCTCAACCCTCAACCATAAACCCTAAACCCTAAACCCTAAATCCTAAACCCCAAGCCCCAAACCCCACACCCTAAATGAAAGGGTTCGAGTGTCCGGAGGAACCCTTGGATGACTGCCGCCAAAGCGCAGGTAGGGAGGGGGGGGAGGGGGGGGGGGGGGGGGGGGGAGGGGGAGGGGGGGGGGGGGCAGGGGGGGGGGAGGGGGGGGGGGAGGGGGGGGGGGATGCTGTGAGTTAATGTTAAATAAGACCTCTAAACCCCAAACCCTAAACCCTGAACCCTAAACCCCCTCTATGGAGGTGCGGGTGATTCATCTGCGATCTGCCAGGCAGGAAGCTGAGTGTGGGTGGAATTGCATCGCCTGACGTCGCTTGATGGAAGGACACTGGTGTCTCCAGAATCTCACAGCCACAGACGCCCTGCCTACCTCCCCAACTGCAGCAGCCTTAGAACATGTGAGAACTGCTGCATACTCGTGCTACTGACGGGGGACGTTGTGTGACCAGGGTCGTAGCACCTTGGTGTGGTGGCTTTCCGGTTTTGTAAGGGATCGGCCATCGGAACACGATTCGTGACGTGAGGACGGATTTTGAAGACGATTTTCGAAGAAGAGTTTGGCGGAAAAGGGGCGTCGTTCGGGAAAAGAGATGTGCAAAAGCGAGGTTCAGTGTCCGGGACTGCGCGAAGACAAACTTGGTGGAAAAGAGCTTCGGGAAGAGCTTCAAACATTCCTTCAGGGCACAACATCTGTCCGAAGACGAATTTCCGGAAGAAGGGCTTCGACGTATTGGCATCACAGCAAAAAATAGAGCTTCCAGGCAGCATGGGCCGGAAAAAGAGCTTCAAACAAGAGCTTCAGAGTGTGTGGCGAAGCTTGGTGCCCGTGCCACCGTGACGCACACAAAGCGTTTTCCAAATAATTTCTCTGTTTTCTCAAATATTGAAAGCAAAAAACAAATCAAGGATGCAAACGTAAAAACATAAATATTTTTACCCATCAGGGAAGCTGTGCCCCATGAACAAAGCCAAAACTAGACCTCTTGGTATGCTTCCGCTCCGTCGCGAGCTTGAATTGAGGATGCATGAATCGGAGCAGATGTTTTGAGAGCGGGTAGATGAGAGTGAGAGATGTCCAAGAGCCTGACTCGATGTTCCATGAATCGGCTTGCAAACGAAGACCCAATGGCTCGAACGGGCCACTTTTCGGGGGTTGAGGGGTTGATTCGCCATAGCTCTGGCGTGACGTGGGGCTTACGATGTTCGCCCTGAAAAAATCCTACTACTATCTGGGGCTTGACTTTTAGGGGCCCCCTCTTTTCGTCCACCCTCATGTCAACCCTCCTGTGCCTCATGTCCAGTCCAGTCTGAGAGTTGGCAAGGCGCAGCCCTCACCAGACTCCAAGAAGGGAGAGGCCGCCATGGGGTTTGGGGTTCAGGGTTTTGGGGTTTAGGGTTTAGGGTTTGGGGTTTAGGGTTTAGGGTTTAGGGTTTGGGGTTTAGGGGTTTAGGGTTTAGGGTTTAGGGGTTTAGGGGTTTAGGGGTTTAGGGTTTAGGGAGGCTTGTTTCCTCCCAGTTTCGTGTCTGAGAGGCCGCTCACCTCTCCCGATGTCACGCCGCTGCTGCAGCGGGCTCGGGTCTGTGGGAAGATCTGTTTAGGGTTTAGGGTTTAGGGTTTAGGGTGAAAGCGCTGTTGCGACCATCGTTGGATAGGCATCCCAGGGCGCCAATTTCGACCCAAGTTCCTGAGATGTTTAGTTGGGGGTTTCGGGTTTAGGGTTTAGGTTTTAGGTTTTAGGGTTTAGGGTTTAGGGTATGCGACGATGGTAGAGGTAGTTCATTGTCATTGCGCTTGTCAAGCAAGCCCAGGTGCACGCATGTGACTGCAATCAGCTCTCATGGCCCTGCCACTCTCGACTCCATCCTACCAAAAAAACAGAGGGGGCCCCGCAATTGGAGTCCACGATCCCAAAACCCTAAACCCTGAACCCGAAACTAAACCCTAAACCCTAAACGACTAGAACCGCCCAGGAGCCCAGGAGCACCCTTTGTGAACTCTGGAGCCAACAGCCCCGGCAGCCCCGGTATCTGAATTGCGTGCCTTAAACCCTAAACCCTAAGCCCTAAACCCTAAACCCTAAAACCTAAACCCTACACCCTAAACCCTAAACCCTAAACCCTAAACCCTAAACCCTAAACCCTTGAGCGCAGAATGGGCTCTTATTATGGGGAAGTTCTGTAGAGCTCAAAGGGTCGGCCCTGGGGGCTTCGCTTGATGGATGGCGCCTCGAGGATGCAGTGGGAGATCTCTGCAAGACAAGCCGACAAGGAGCCCCTAAACCCTAAACCCTAAACCCTAAACCCTAAACCCTAAATCCTAAGCCCTAAACCCTAAACCCTAAACCCTAAACCCTAAACCCTAAACCCTAAACCCTAAACCCTAAACCTCAAACCCTCACTCAACCCTAACCCCCCAAGGAGCTCCAGAAGAAGAAGCTCGCGATCATCTCCCTGGCCTTCAACGGGGAGATCCTGCTCACCAGCTCCTGTTGCTTAGGGATTCTTGGGAATATTTCTTAATTCTTGGGCACTCTAATTCCTAAGAAACAGCCAAAATTATGTAATTTTAGCTCGGGCTCCACAATCAGTATAGGTAAGCCGACGGTGAAACTGTGGAGGCTGGGAGAGGATGGTCTCACTGCTAGCGGCTCACTGTCGGGAATCTCAGGCGCAGCTGCTCCCAGCTCCCTGGATTGTCTCAAGGACAAGGCAGCCTTCTGCACGCAGGACGGATGCATCCTTCTGTATGACTTAAGGAATCCGGACCGGCCAAGCCAGCTGGACATTGCATCCGGGCAGGGAAGTATAATACGCTTTCTGCCCGACGGCAACCGACTGGTGTCTGGTGGTGTCTCTGGCAAGCTCTCCATCTGGGATTTGCGGAAGCAACAGCTCGAGCGGGAGCTTTCTGCGAACTCCGCTGGCATGGAGGTCAAGAATGGCGATGAGGAGAGGCCGAGCAAGTTTCGCCGCCCCTCCGTCGTGCCACAGGACAGCATCACGGCCTTAGCTCCAAGTGGCGACGGTCTGATGCTGGCTTGCGGCCGGAGCTCAGGCAGGTTCTCGAGTTCTAGAGGTTCTAGAGGTTCTGGAGGTTCTAGAGGTTCTAGAGGTTCAAGAGGTTCTAGAGGTTCTGGAGGTTCAAGAGGTTCTAGAGGTTCTAGAGGTTCGAGAGTCGGGAATGTGTCCTAGGGCCCTAGCATTTCTGGGCGGGGAAGGGCTCGGGCGCTTTTTTTTTGGGTCGTGCGTTTGGCTCGCAGGGCGCATCGGCTTGCTGCAACTGGCGACGCTGGACTGGGCAGGCATGGACCTGCAGGCCCACGTGGGCAGCGCAGTCAGATCACTCTCCTTTGAGCGGTCGAGGTTTCTTTTCAGCGGCGGCTGCTTGCCTGCCTTTTTTTTGGGTTCTTTTTGGTTCGGGGGTTTAGGGTTTCAGGATGTGTCATGCGTCCCCTTGGAATGTTGCAACCGAAGAGAGAATGCTCTTAATCCACCAAGGCGACGACCGCAACATTTGCATGCTGGATGCCTCGCGTTGGGCTTCTCGCGGCACTAGGCCACAGGTGGAGCGATTTCCCGCCCATCGCAAGAGCATCACGTGTGTGCAAGCATGTCCTGACAATAGGAATCCGGCTGTAGTTTCTACCGCCTGGGACAGGGTGGTCAAGGTGTGGGACTACCGAAGACAAGTCGTCCTGCAAACGTTCTCGGAGCACGCCGGGGCTGTCACAGGCGTGGCATTCGATCCAGACGGTCAGATTTTTGTGACGGTCGGGGCCGATGCCATGATCCACATGTACACGCCGGTCCACGACTTGGGGCCTGAGGGTGCGGAAAACTCGGCGCAACCCGGGGCTCCAGAGGAGGATGCTCAGGATCTTAAGGCTGTTAAGGTTAAGCCTGGATGATTTTTTCTAGCTGTGAGCTGAGCTCGCTGAGGGTGCTGGCTGCGGCAGGAGCCTGCTAACCCCGCAGGCTTGGAAGTGTTTGCTGGCAGGTCCCAGGGTGCTCCCAATGTGTCCTTGCTTCTCAGCCTGCTGAGGGTTTAGGGTTTAGGGTTTAGGGTTTTGAGTTCAGGGCTGCCAATATAATAAGAAAATGAGCCTTAAACCATTTTCGGCGGTGCCTGCCGGTACACATTTCCTTGTCGTCGGCATGGCCTTTTTGCAGTAATTGACAATCCGCCTTGACGAGGTCGGCGGGGCGCGTCGTCAAATTTGCAATAACATGTCTATATAATGCCTGTGCAGTCCTGGTTTAGGGTTTAGGGTTTAGGGCTTCGAATAGCCACACGGCATCAGATAGAGGTCCTTCCTTTGCAAACTGCATTCAGTAAGCCTACGACTCCTACATGAATGGTCACGCGTTAGGTCTCCCGCGGAGTCATCAGTGTCCGGGTTAGGGTTTAGGGTTCAGGGTTTAGGGCTGGGCCTTCCCCTGGAGTGGTGGGATAAGGTGCAGCAGTAAGGTTCGCGAATCACGGAGCTCCTTAAAGGCATGGGCCGTGTCACTGGTGATCCTATTGACGTACCATATGGCGGCGGTGGAAAAATGGGACGCTCAGGTCACATGGGCAGTCCTCTAAGGTTTCAGGGACCCGCTTAGCATCCTTCTTGCAACATGGAGGCTGTATATTTGGGAACCTTAAAACAAGGGCCCTCAGAGAGAGCCATATGCAACATAGGTCGGGGAAATATTGATTACAGATATCAAGGTGGACCCACCCTGAACCCTGAACATCCCTGAACCCTAAAGCCCAAGTCTATCCCATGAATCTGCCCCCATTTTTTCCATTCAGGATCCTTCCAAAAGTTTGGGGGAATTCTCCCCGTTACTGAAAGGGCATCGGAAGATCTGGGGGGTCGGAAGCCCAGACTAAGCCCTAAACCCTGAGACCGAAACTCCTCCTAAGCCTGTGAGCCCTAAACCCAAAACCCTGCACCCCTAAACCCGAACCTTTGAGCCCTAAACCCTAAACCCTAAACCCTAAATCCTAAATCCTAAACCCTAAACCCTTAGCCCCCCAGGTTGGGTGGCCGGCGTCCTCCAGGAGCGTTCACCAGGGGAGGGTTTAGGGTTTAGGGTTTAGGGTGTAGGGTTTGGGGCTTGGGGTTTGGGGTTTGGGGATTGGGCAAGTAGGCACCCTGTCGAAGCCGAAAGAATCCCTGGAAGGGTTGTGTAAGGGATCTGGGTACCTGATTCCGTCCGATTCAGGAAACCGCGAGTCATGAAATCATGTGACGATCACAAAGCCTCGCGATTCAGGAACCCGCCCCATTCCTAGTGATTGCTTAAGAACCCCCAAAAAGCACAAGTATTCGTCCTCATAAAGGCACTATAGGGATGACTATTTTGTATTTTTGGGGGTTCTTAAGCATAGTAGATGCAGAAAACCATGCAATTCCGAACGCTGCCAAATTCCCACTTTCCCAAATCCCGCGTTTTCCAGTTTGCCGAATCAAGTGCCCCCGTATCCTCCCTATATGGGCGGTTACGATGTTAGGGGGTACCTAGCAGGGTCCTTAATTGTCAGGAAATCCTGCGATTTGGGGGTCTTTTTTGGGGGTTCTGGCGACCTCAGGGGCTACAGTAGGGCCCAAAAAGTTGGAACACACTTATGCCCATACCCCTAAGGGGTTACTAAGGGGAACCCCAGCTCTCGACATCCTTAAGCCATGTTCCAACTTTCTGGGGTTTACACGAAGTGCGCACAAGTATTCTCTTAAACGCGGGCGGCGGCTTTTGCGTGAAGATCGAGAATAGCTGGAAGGCGATGTATGATGCTCGCCCAATTCACCGCAAGTGCTGTTCGGGCCTAAGCCCTAAACCCTAAACCCTAAGCCCAAAACCCCGAAACCCCTAAACCCCTAAACCCCTAAACCCCTAAACCCCTAAACCCCCAAACCCCTAAACCCCTAAACCCAAAACCCAAAACCCCTAAACCCCGAAACCCCGAAACCCCGAAACCCCTAAACCCTAAACCCCTAAACCCCCCTAAAACCCCTAAACCCCTAAAACCCCTTAACCCCTAAAACCCTAAACCCCTAAACCCCTAAACCCCTAAACCCCTAAACCCCAAAACCCTAAACCCTAAACCCCTAAACCCCTAAACCCCTAAAAAACCCCTAAACCCCTAAACCCCTAAACCCCTAAACCCCTAAACCCCTAAACCCCTAAACCCCTAAACCCCTAAACCCCTAAACCCCTAAACCCCTAAACCCCTCAACCCTAAATGCATCGGCCACTTCCGGCCTGGTTTGGTCGAGCTCGAGGGTTTGCTCGAGCTCTCGGCCCAGTGGTCGAAGAATGTAAGCACGTGGAGGTTTAGGGTTTAGGGTTTGGGTTTAGGGTTTGGGGTTTAGGGTTTAGGGTTTAGGGGTTTTGTCGACCAAAATCTCGTGTGCACAAGTTTGTCTCTGGTGTGCGTGATCGACCACAAAACATGGGCCAGAAATAGTCGAGCGGACTCAGCCAGTGTGAGAACTGGACCACTTGGTCGGAGAAGACGTGTGCGCACACGCGTTTGATGTTCGTGCCCCCCCCCCTTGCTCGGTTCAAAGCAAGCCTGCGCACGTTGATGTTCCCATAAATGCGGCCTTTTCCGACCGAGCCAGCTCGTGCAAATTTAAACCCTAAACCCCAAACCCCAAACCCTCAACCCTAAACCCTATACCCCAAACCCCAAACCCTAAACCCTAAACCCTAAACCCTAAACCCTAAACCCCAGAATCCTGAAGGGATTGTACGGGAGTCCCCCGGGTCTCCGCCTTCCCAACCAAGTCAGGGGCCGTTCGTCGGGCGAGCGCGACCCCTTCAACGGAACCCTTGGTCCGAAGCTCAGGGCTGAGCCAATGTGTCAGGGTTTAGGGTTTAGGGTTTAGGGTTTAGGGTTTAGGGTTTAGGGTTTAGGGTTTAGGGTTTAGGGTTTAGGGTTTAGGGTTTGAAGGGTGTGTGTGTGTGTGTGTGTGGTTGACTCCTTGGGGGTTTGGATTTGTTTTGCTTTTTGAAGCTTAGGGTTTTCAGGCCCCCAAGCATCCCGAAACTGTGGCTGGGCTGGGAGGTGCCGCAGCTTGCCAGTGCTGGCAGAGGTGGACACCGAATGGCAATTCCTTCCCTTCAGTCTTTAGGTTTAAGGCCTGTCTCTTTCTATCTCTTTCTCTCTCTCCCTCTCTTTCTCTCTCTCTCTCTCTCTTTCGCTCTCTCTCTCTCTCTCTTTCTTTCTCTCTCTCTCTCTCTCTCTGTCTGTCTCTTTCTATATCTATGTTTATGCATGTGTTTTGCTCTCTGTTTCTCTCTCGCTCTCTTTCTTTCTCTCTCTTTCGCTCTTTCTCTTGTTCTGGGTCATGAGTTCCTGCAGGAGCTCCTGCAGACAGCTTTGACAAAGAGCTTATGCGCACTGCCATGAACATCTCCCGCACCCTGGACAGAATCCAGGCCAGGAAATCTGCTGTCCCCCTTAAGGTAGCCCCAAACATATTTCGATCCTTATTGTCGGCTCGCCCAAAAACCCTAGACCCCTAAACGCTTAACCCTTACCCTTAGCCCTGAAACCTTTAACCCTTAACCCTTGAACCCTTAGCCCTTAAACCCCTAAACCCTTGAACCCTTAAACCCCTGAACCCTTGAAACCTTAAACCCTAAACCCTTAAACTTTAACCCTTACACCCCTAAACCTAACCCTTGAACCCCTAAACCCCTACACCCCTAAACCTAACCCTTGAACGCTTAAACCCCTAAACCCTGAACCCTTGAACCCTAAACCCTAAACCCCTCAGCCCTTGAACCCCTAAACCCGTGAACCCTTAACCCTTGAACCCTAAAAACCCCAAAACCCTTAAAAACCCTTAACCCTTGAACCCCTAAACCACAAACCCAACACCCTTCAAACCCTTCAAACCCTTCAAACCCTTCAAACCCTTCAAACCCTTCAAACCCTTAAAACCCTTGAACCCTTGAACCCTTGAACCCTTGAACCCTTGAACCCTTGAACCCTTGAACCCTTGAACCCTTGAACCCTTGAACCCTTGAACCCTTGAACCCTTGAACCCTTAAATTTAAGAGCCTCCGGCTCAAGCCGCCGACCCCGCTGGAGCATAGTTGAAGGCTTAAACGCGCTCGTCAGCTCAAAGGATGCCAAAAAAGTTGATGTGCTTGAGCCTCTGTGAAACGTTGCCAGGGCAGCCCCATCAATTGGTAGGGGGGGTTAGGGGGGGGGGGCGGGGGTAGGGGGAAGGGTGGGGGGGGGGGGTGGGTGAGGGGGGGGGTGGGGGCGGGGGGGGGGTAGGGCGGGGGGGGTGGGGGTGGGGGGGTAGGGGGGTGGGGGGGGGCGAAACGCCTACGGTCCGTGGTGTGGGTGGCCTAACCCTCCATGGAAAAGCCTGCCAGGGTACCCCCCCCTACCCCCCCGCGGTTTTTGGGGGGGTAAGGAGGGAAAGAGGGAGGTTTTCACCTCCTTTTCCATCCAACACGCCGCCAGGGTCGGCGGACCCGAAACCCAAAACCAAAAACCCTAAACCCTCAACCCTCAACCCTCAACCCTCAACCCTCAAACCCTCAACCCTCAACCCTCAACCCTCAACCCTCAACCCTCAACCCTCAACCCTCAACCCTCAACCCTCAACCCTCAACCCTCAACCCTCAACCCTCAACCCTAAACCCTAAACCCTAAACCCTAAACCCCTAAACCCGGAGGTGGGCTGGTCCTCCTTGGTGCCGGCCTCGACCTCAACCCGTGTGCATCCGCACTTCGTAGCTGAAATAGGGTTTAGGGTTTTAGGGTTTAGGGTTTTAGGGTTTAGGGTTTAGGGTTTAGGGTTTTAGGGTTTAGGGTTTTAGGGTTTAGGGTTTAGGGTTTAGGGTTTAGGGTTTAGGGTTTAGGGTTTAGGGTTACTGTACACTTTTTGGGATA